ATGATGATGATGACGTAGATGCTATCCATCAGTCGCATGGACAATATCAGCAAAAATCTCTCCCTCACCCCCCTCCCCCCCCCCCCCCCCCATCTTGATGAAGATAATGATGATGATGATGATGACCTTGGTGCTCTCGGATCATTACAGTCCCCTCACCTTTCCTTTACCCCTACCCTAACCACCCAAACCCCTCCATCTTTTTAGTGCCAAGGGGGCGATTAAAAAAAATATCGGTGAATTATTTTAAAATCATCATTCTTAATTGATATATCATCGTTTTGTTTGTTTTGTTTTTGAAAAATTAGTGGGTCGTCATCATCTCTTCACTTGTAAAAAAATAATGAAAAAAAAATTCTGTCTTTTGTTTTGTTTTATTGTACACTAATGGTTTTTTTTTATTCTGAATATTTCTCGCTGAAGAATTGAAATTGTTTCCTGTTGATTGAACGAAGCCATCGGAAGCTATTAACATTGATTGCCATTATAAAACTCTTTCTGGAATTGAAAACTGATAAGTGATACAGTCGCCGAAATATGTAAAATGGTATATTGGCGTCTTTATTTTTTTATTTATAAAATTTGACGTCTATATTTTCTCACAACATGAACTAAAATTCAGCTACCTGTGTCGCTTTTCAGAATCAAAATTCGACGTCAGCTTTGTCTGTAATCAAATAAGTGAAAAAATTATAAATTGATAGAACTTATAGTAGTCTTAATATTTCTATCTCCAAACCTAACTATTTCTTCAAAAGATAAATCATTATTCAGCTACCTGTGTCACTTTTCAGAATCTAAATTCGACGTCCGTTTGATCTTCAATGAAATCAATACGAAATTATTTCAATTGACGGAAATGAGGTTTTCCATTTTAAATATTATTACAATTTTTGATGCAATTGTAGGCAAACCAGGAGTTAAATGTCGATCTTTCTTAGAAGTGAGACGGGTAGCTACCATTTAAATGGGCTGACAAAATGAAAATTTTGAACACAACATCCCTTAAATATTCTGAGAGTGAGATGAAAGGGAACTATCCTTTGTTCAGCCTCCCACGCCCCCACAACTACGGGCCCTTTTCAATACCTACTGAGAATCACAAAAATTTAAATATAGAGTGGGCTGGGGCAGGGGTCAAAAGAGGTGGGGAGGGGCTAAAAAGGCCTTCCTAAAGAACCAATGCGTAGGCCTAAGACCAAAACATTAGGGATAATAATTCGTCAACTTCGCCATGCCGCCACGGCGCCGTTTATGATGGAATGTTTAATTTTTACAAATTAATTACATAAAATGAATTGATTTTCCCTCCAATATTTTTTTTTAAAAATAACCCCGACTACTTACGTGACGATCACGACTACCCCTTTTATTTCAAACACGTGCAGTTTCGCGCGGAAATGATCAACTTCGACCTTGACCTTTGCTCGACCACTGACTTGTTTTGATAGACGCCATTTGCAAGTTTTGACTGCAAATTTATACATAGTAACGATATTTTACACCGATTACGCTGCACTGTTAGAGGTAAAAGAATGTATTTTAGTACATGCAATGCGAATTTGGTTGTAAACCTGGAGAAATGTGGTTAAAATTGTAAAAAATGCACAAAAACATGTCGCGGCAGCCATTTTGAGAAGCAAGTTCACCCGGCGTTTACGTCACGGCCTCTAACGTTCGGCCATTTGTCTCCGTGCAGAAACGAGGTGACGAATTTTCCACTAAATTTTACAAAGTTATACATTGTTGCAAAACTTTCTCGGGTTATTGGACATATATTCTGTGACATATTAACACAACGTATCGATTTAGAGGTAAGATACGAACCAAAATAACAACATTAGTGGCCTATTTTTGTGTTTTGGATTTGGCCATTTTCACTTCTGCTCGTTTATTTCGGTCAGGGTCGTTTAATGCGTCATAAAATGGAGGCTTTTTTTTCCGATAATAGAAAATGGTGGAATGGTCGTTTGATCGTTGTCGTTTCTAAATTGACAATTAATCACGAAAATTTATAAATTTTGGGAAATTCAATTCAAACTGTTTGTTCAAATTTTGATGAATTTTTTAGGCTTAGTTTCATTTTTACTGGCATTGTTTTGTTTTTTTTACAAACTGAAATTTTGTTCCTCTTGTCATTTTCACAAATGTCGATTCATAATTTGTCAATTTATGAAAATTATTTGTTTTGTAAGCTTATAGATTTTTTACTTTACTTAAATTTGGACTATTTTATTGAAAGAAAAAATTATAGATTTGAAAATAGAATTTTTTCAGAACTTGACTTCTCAAAAAAAACCCCCAAAAAATCAAAATTAATTTTTGTTAAGTTTGGTATTGAATTTATCCGCTGATTTTTTTGGTCCCTAAATAGATAGGCCCTACCGGTAGTAAAAAAATTTGGGTTTTGAATTTTGCTTAAGAATTCCAAATGTGACTTTGTAAAGAATAATCCCACTCAGCCCTGTCATTAGGGTGGGATCAGTGGGGGCTGGTCCCCAGCAAGTGAGAATTAAGCCCCAGCTAAACCTTCTTCAGTTCATCAGAGATTGATTCATTTACAGTGTTTTTGTACAAAATCAAAAAGATATAGATTTTGATATGTTTTTGGCAGCTCAAAATTGTCAGAAATGAGTTCTCTGGGCTTTAATTCTTCAAATTTTCTGAGTACAAAATCTGAGCTCCAGCACCAATTTATTCCTGGAGACGGGGCTGATCCTACTCAGCTAATGTAACAAAACAAAATATTGACTTCAATAATAAATTTAAGAAAAAAGTTTGCTTGATAAATATTGAAAGATCATTGATTTCAAAAAAATTGTAAAGATGGCAGATTTACATATAAGATGTCATGAAAGGCACAGATGGGCCATTTTTGTGTGACCAATCATACTTTAGTCTTAGAGACGGGAATTTTTTAGCTAAGCCAATCAGGAATAGTGTTCACAGCTCACTGTCCAAATTTGAGTCTTCAAATCCATGTGTGTCAAGAATTATCTGTGTTTGAAAGTTAAAAAGACAACCCGTCTTTTCTTGAGACACTGTCATAATTATATAAAGGACAGGGGCCCCATTTTCCAGTGTTGATTTGAGTCTTGAATATATGTAAATAGTCTTCAGAAGTACTAGAAATGTATGGAAATTGCAAAATTCCTTTAAAAATATCTCAAACCAGAAATTTTACTCACTATTTCTTTATATTGAAATTTGAGCCGTCAAATCCATGTGTATCTAGAATTATCTGTGTTTGAAAGTTAAAAAGACGATTCATCTTTTCTTGAGACACTGTGATATATAGAAAAAACATCTATAGAAATAGGAAAAGAAATTCTTAGTTTGAGATATTTTTGAGACTCTGTTCCAAATTTTCCTCATTGCACACATATAGCATTTAACATTTCAGGTTTGAGGCAAGATACAAAGGCTGAGTTTATAAATAGGAATTGAAATCAGAACAGACCAAATACCATGGAGAAGAAGATCACAGTGCAGTGTTGTGTTCCATCATGTTACAACACCAACCATATGAGTCCCCAGATTCTATTCTTTCCCTTCCCTAAGCGCCGGGAGATGCAGGAAAAATGGCTGCATGCCATCCGGCGCCCAGAACTCAAGAAAATGCTTCCAGTAAGTAACCCTTTCCGCTTCACTTTAGTACTTTTAGTGTACTTTTTTCAAAAGCACCACTAGGAGCTGCAGTTGCTAAGTGAGTTAAAATCTTGCTCTCTAACCTGAAAGTCCAGGGTTCAATCCTGGCATAGGTCGAGATAATACCTTCGGATTTTTCAACCCGGTTTCCCCCTGTCAGTGATACAGGTCTTTAAAGATTCCTCGACAGTTGGAAATTGGAAAAAAAAGTTGGCTACTGCCGCTGTCCTGGCAAAATTTCCCTCATTGCACACTGCATGGCATATATAGATATGTATATCAGGGACACTGATAACATCGATTTGCACAATTCCAATTTTTAATCAGACGTCTGTGGTTCCTGCAATTCCACTAAAACTAAATATTTACTCTAGTCAGTGACAAAAATATCAAACCAAGACCTAAGTGTGCCAACACCTTGATAATTTTGATTATCATTTACAGGTGGACAAACCGTTTCATATGTTTATATGTCTGGATCATTTCCGTCAAAACGATGTAGTCCAGATTAACCAGAGAACATGTTTACGAGCTGGAGTTATCCCTAGCGTGTTTAAATGGAGCGACGCAGTGGTTAAAGAAGAGAAAGCTTCGAATATTGTGTCTCCATCGACCAGTACCACGCCTCCTGTTGGAACGACCAGTTCCTCAAGTTCTTCTGGTGGTGCTCGTTCAAAATCTTCGTAAGTAGTGATCCATGTTAGTGATTTGTCAACTGTGTTTTAGTCACTATGCCAGCCAATCAAAATCCTTGGATTACGTTATTCTGGGTATTCTGGGAATGCACCTTTTGTTTCCAGCACATAAGCCCTACATTGGAGAAAGCAGGAATTTGATTGGCTGGCAATGTCATCAATCAAACTGAGGAATTTCAAGTAGGCCATGTTAAGACCCTCACTGAAGTGACTCTTTTAAAATAAAGCTAATTAAAAATGGAACAAAAGTTTGCTCTGATTTTAATTCATTCATTATACAATAGGTTTATAAGACAATTTCATTCATTCATTCATTCACTCAATCTTCCAACCATTCACTCTTTCATTCATTCATTAATTCCCTCAATCTTTCAATCATGCAGTATTCATTCATTCACTCATTCAGTTGTTCTTTCACTCACTCTTTCATTCATTCATTCATTCATTCATTAATTCACTCATTCATTCAATCATGCAGTATACATTCATTCATTCATTGATTCACTCACTCTTTCATTCATTCATTCTTTTATTCATCCATTCAATCAATCTTTCACTTTTTCCTATTTTGAAATCCTCATTCATTCACTCATTCATTCACTCAATCCTGTATTTTTCAGGTCTAGTTCCAATAAACTGAAAGAAGCTACAGTGATTATAAACTGTGGTCAACTGACAGCCGAGCTACATAGAGATAAATTCTACTGCCCTGGTATACACAGAGAATGCATTCGCTATAACAACCAGTTCATCACCCCCAAGATGTTCATGATTATGGGAGACAAGGAAAAACTTAAAGACTGGAAAAATGCTATTAGAATCGGTGGCACCAAAATCAGGTAGGCAATGATTCCAGATATTTAAAGGGATTGTAAATAGGGCAAGGTTCCTGTAATTCCATTAAAACTAAGTGTTTGATGATGTCACTAATTGCAAAATATTCAAGAGGGCCATTGTTAGACCCTAACTGTAGTGGCTACATTAAAAATAAAAGCTAATAAAAAATAGATCAAAATGACGAAATCTGGATTTCTGGACGTCTGTGGTTCCTGCAATTTCATTAAAACTAAGTGTTTGATGATGTCACTAATTGAAAAAATATTCAAGAGGGCCATCGTTAGACCCTAACTATAGTGGCTATATTGAAAATAGAAGCTAATAAAAAATGGATCAAAAAAGTGGTCAGACTGCAAAATGATTTTTCGTACCAAAATGACTAAATCTGAATTTTTTTTCAGGAAATTTATCGAGAACAAACAGCTGGACTTCCACAAACATAAAGAATTCTGTACTGGGCGCTGTGTTGCCAGATTACCAGTGAATCTGTTCCGTACCAGAGCTCAGCCGCCAGAAGAATACATCAATACGTCTGGTGATATCTCCCATGTTTTGTTCGCTGATGGTGACGCCAAACCAGATTTACACAGAGTAGGCAAGTTGTCAGTTCATTTTCTTTCAGGGGCATGGTTCGCCATTTTTTAGAGGTTGATTTGAGTCTTGAATATATGTAAATAGTCTTCAGAAGTACTAGAAATGTATGAAAATCACATAATTCCTTTAAAAATATCTCCAACTAGGAATTTTACTCACTATTTCTATAGATGTCTTTTCTATATACGATGTCAAACTGCATGATAAACAGACAGGCGCTAATCGAAAAAGAGTAGGTCAATGCTGCTGTCCTGGCAAAATTTCCCTCATTGTACACTGCAAGGTACGATGTCAAACTCTTTTTAATGATGGGTTTCCTTATTTTTTAGTATCAAATTAAGCAAACTATTTGATTAATTGATGTTTCTAATGAATTATCATGTATTCTTAATCATATCATTATGTTCTTATTGCATATAATTAAGAGTTTTAACCAATCATTAATGTCCATGTATGTACAGTCTGGATAAACAAAAAAAGACTTTTTGACCTTTCTTGATCGGTCACTCATTGGAATTCTGCTGGTAATTCTCTTCTAATTTAGCTAATTATGAATTAATTATGGACATGTGAGACAAACTGGTATTTTTTCCAAGTCATTAGAACACCTCTACTTTCTATTCATATAAGTATTAGCATTTTCATTTTCATAAATAAAAATAAGGGAACCCATCTTTAATTTGTTTTTTTTAAGGGTAGGGTGTAAAACTCGATTTTTTTGTTTTCAGCAGGTGACCCAGTGATAGAAACAGAATATGATGAAGAAGAGTCAGATGAAAGTATCGTAGATGAAAAACCAGATTTAGAAACACTAAACGCTTTACTCAAAAACCCCATACCTACTGCCATGCTAACAAAAGGTAAACTTTTCTATGTTGTCTTGGGCTGGGGGAGCCGCGGTGGCTCAGTGAGTTAGATGCTGGCCCGGCATAGGTTGAGATAATACCTTCAGATTTTTCCACCCGGTTTCCCCCTGTCAGTAATGTAGGTAAGAGGGGCTGACATGGAAAAAGCGTCTAGTCCAATAAACCGAGGCCTCGTGTGCTACAGGCTGTGCACGAAAAAGGGCAGGCTCATGCCGCTGTCCTGGCAAAATTTCCCTCATTGCACCCTGCATGGCGTTGCCTGTCTTCATTAGCCCACATGGTGCAGAAAAGTAGGACGTAAAACTCCATTCATTTCATTTCATTTTATCGCTTACAAAATTGAGATCGATTATCGATTTTAGACTACTGATCCATTAGTCCAAAACATCTGCCCATATTCCAGCCTCTGATCAATATTTCGACAGTTGTCAGCTGGAGTAGAGTCAGAAAAAAAAGACTCTTTTAAATGGGGATTTTCCCCAGCTCCAGAGATGCGTTTTCTCTAACATAATATTGAATTACCTTTAAGATGATTATAAATTAGTGTTGGGCATCACCGTAACTTTTGTTTTGTTAGTATCACGTGACTCTGTGACCTTTGAACTTTTGGCTGAGCACGCAGTTTTAAATGGCCGATGGTAGAACAGTTTCGCCAAAAAAAAAACTTTGATGGAACTGGAGACATGACAGAGATGGTGTAGGCTTGTTAACTCGATAGAGGTGACAGTTTATGTCAGAATGTTTTTAAATAATGTGTGTTTGTTTAAATCAACAATATATTGCACAAATTAGATTTTTGACACAGATAGGTGACTGCCCTTGATATACTGAAAATGTATCAGGAAAGTGGGCGTACCGTATCTTGCTAGGCACCCACTTGTTTTTTTAGTATGTAGAAAATTTCTCATTTAAAATATTTCGATTAATTATCTCAATTTCGTAATCGCTGCCAAAACCTAGTCAACACTGAATTTTCAGGATTCAACCTGTAGCCATAAATACTCATAAGGCTTTCGAATTTTTCAGGTCCTAAGACAGAGCATGGTATTACAGATAGCCAGATGTTCTGGCGTGGAATAGCCAAGTTAGGATTGATAGACACAGTGTTTGATGTGGTCAAGGAAAGCATTAGTCAGCTACGCACTAATTTCATCATGCACGACGCCAGGCCAGAGGGTAAGTCTTCTTGATGACCTCCCCCAAAAAAATAGAACTTTCGAAGAGCCCTACCTGGCCCTTAGTGTTCAGTCCTACCTGGCCCTTAGTGTTCAGTCCTACCTGGCCCTTATGGTTCAGTCCTACCTGGCCCTTAGTGTTCAGTCCTACCTGGCCCTTAGTGTTCAGCCCTACCCTTAGTGTTCAGTCCTACCTGGCCCTTAGTGTTCAGTCCTACCTGGCCCTTAGTGTTTAGCCCTACCTGGCCCTTAGTGTTCAGCCCTACCTGGCACTTCGTGTTCAGCCCTACCTGGCCCTTAGTGTTCAGCCCAGGTACCCTTAGTGTTCAGCCCTACCCTTAGTGTTCAGCCCTACCTGGCCCTTAGTGTTCAGCCCTACCTGGCCCTTAGTGTTCAGCCCTACCCTTAGTGTTCAGCCCTACCTGGCCCTTAGTGTTCAGTCCTACCTGGCCCTTAGTGTTCAGCCCTACCTGGCCCTTAGTGTTCAGCCCTACCCTTAGTGTTCAGCCCTACCTGGCAGTGTTAAAAGGGTGAAGCCCAATTTCATTTTTTCCCATTTTTTTTTCAGATGCTCACCTACTAAGTAGTGTGATAAGGGAGATGGGCCTATCTAATAAAATACAGCACATGTTGGCCTCCAGTAAACAAGATATGGATGACCATTATAATAAACTCGAACAGGAAATGAAAGGTATGTGAAGCCTCTAGAATCCCAACTTTTAAAGGGATTGTAAAAAGGTTTTCTAAATTTTTATGTGTATCAGGGATACTGATAGCATCACTGCGATTAGTGACATCATCAAACACTTAGTTTTAGTGGAATTGCAGGAACCACAGATATCTGATTGAAAATTGTAATGGTGTAAATTGATGATATCAGTGTCCCTGATATACATCAAAAATTTAGAAAATCTCTTTACAATCTCTTTAATTTAATTCCAATATTTATTGCTATTTAATGTAAATTATAAACTTAAAATGAGCCACACAAACTAAGATAGCCCTTGATCAAGTGGTCGTTATAATGAACTTGAGCAGGAATGAAACTTATGTGAATGCTCTAAAATTTTGATTTAGAAAGGGAAAGTTACCTCTATTTGCCTCATTCAACTTTTCCATCAAATGTCTGTGGTTCCTGTAATTATAGAAATCTTTAAAGAGATTGTAAAAAGGTTTTCTAAATTTTTTATGTGTATCAGGGACACTGATAGCATCAATTTACACCATTCTAATTTTCAATCAGACTGCAATTTACACGATTCTAATTTTCAATCAGACGTGATTACTGACGTCATCAAACACTTAGTTTAAGTGGAATTGCAGGAACCACAGACATCTGATTGAAAATTAGAAAGGTGAAAATTGATGCTATCAGTGTTCCTGATACACATAAAAAATTTAGAAAACCTTTTTACAATCTCTTTAAATCTGTTGATTTTTTTAAGAGAAAAATAACATCGCATCTTTTTGAAAGAACCTTTACCTAATAACAACTATGTGTGTTTGTGTGTGTAGATATTGTCTATAATGTAGAAATATTTGTGTTTGTAAAGCACCATTGAATGCTCATATTAGAGCAGTATTGAGTGCTATACTTAGTTCATTAATCTTAATCTATCTCAATCTTAAAGGAACAGGGCATAATTCCTTCAAAAATATCTCAAACTAGGAATTTCTTTTCCTATTTCTATAGATGTCTTTTCTATATATCACAGTGTCTCAAGAAAAGATGACTCGTCATTTTAACTTTCAAACGCGGATAATTCTAGATACACATGGATTTGAAGTCTCAAATTTCGACAGTGAGCTGTGAACACTATAACTGATTGGCTTAGCTAAAAAATTCCTGTTTCTGAGACTAAGGTATGATTGGTCAAAAAAATGGCGCAACTGTCCCTTTAATGTTAACTTTAATCTATTTTTTTTTTCAGAATTACAGCATAAAGTAAATCAGTATGAGACCAGAAAACGGCTTCTGAAGAAACGTTCCGAGGAATTCAAAGCCATCCTGGATATGAACAACCCTAAGCATTCCACCCCAACCTCCAGTGATGGGAACCTCAACCAAAATAAGCGCGGTGCTGAATCCACCCCAGAGGAAAGCGTCAAAAGATTTAAGTTCAGTCATTCCGAGCAATTGAAGCGTATCCTTCAAGCTCCCCAAAAAAGTTTGACCGGAGCTCAAAATACAGTAGATGATGCGGAATCCCCCACTTTCGTGATGGCCAAAGACTCCTTGAAACCTGGTCAGATCCTGAAAATCATTCCCAATGAAGCTGGTGGACAACCCATGATCATCCAAAAGACTGTGGGAGCTGATGGATCCATCAGCACAAAGACAGTGGATCAGCAGTCCAAAGAAGCAGAAGAGTCCACCACAGATGTTGATGAGAGCTTACCCAAGATCATCAGTGTCGAGTCCATCAAACAAGAAGTTGTTGACGAACCTGAAGCCTCGACCAGCCACTCTGGTGATGACATCCGGACAGTGGCCGACATTCAGAATGTGGTAGCCAATGGACAGTCCCTGACGGAGAGGATCCTGCAGTCTACCGCTGGAGAAAAGGACGGAGGCCAGGAAGATGATGAAGATGATATTGATGATGATGATCTGATGGAGACTATGGAAATGTATGGAGATGATCAAGAAACCGGAGTAAGTATATATTGGGTATTAGGGGGTGAAAGCTGATGCCAGACTGACTCTCGGAAGCAGTGGCACAGGCATCAGATTTTTCTCTACTCGAGGAGGATTCGAACGCCTAGCAGATGACAATCTAACTCGCTACTGACAGAGTTATTCCACTGTTCTAGCAGACAACAATCTATC